TTGAATTTTCAGATTTAGTTAAAGATTTTTGTTCTTCTAAATACTGAACTTCTAAATAACGAACTCCACTTCTTGCAGAAGCTGCTGCTGATCTCATTTCTTTATTAATTTCGATATTAAGAACACCTCCAGAAAATTTTATGTAATCAAATACTGTGCGTTGAAAAATGTACGATGAGTCACTTAGATTTTCAATTTCAATTGCTTTATTTACAGAGAAGCCCCTTTCCACAGAGGCCTGTTAATGTGACAAGATAAGATTACTTGATTTACAGAAAAGCCCCTTTCTACAGAGGCCTGTTCAGGTGACAAGATAAGATTACTTGTCACAGTGAATACTTGAATAGTGAAAATATACACTTTTTTATTATATATATATATATATATTTTGAAAGATGTATATATATAAAGTCCGAGATCTGGACATGCAATATCTGGAATGATCTAAAATCCGGACCTCAAAGCCACCAACAACCAATTTTTTAGGGCTTTTTTGAAGGGAAGGGATATGCTTGTAAGGATCTTAAGTTTTACTAACGTTTATTTTATTTTAAATCTTTACTATCACTTCATTTTCTATTCCGGCCAAAATTAAAAGCTTTAACTTATTTATGCAAATTTGTCTTGCGAACGCCAAGTTTAAGTTGTGGCTTTTTGCCAAGCAAGAGAGAGAGAAGGAGTTAGTAGAAGCAGGCCGCTTGCCTTAGCAGTTTTACTCGGTTGCTGGTTGCCTTCAAGGCCAGAGGTTTAATCCTCTTGATAATTTTAAAATCGTAAACATCTTGTAACATAAAATACGACCAATCTTCAAGTAGACCCTTATTAATCCAAAGTTATTTAGTTAAATTTAGTTAATATTTTTATATTCTTACGTTCAGACCAAAGTTTGGTCTCTGTATTCTGAAGTAAATATTGTAAAGAGAGAAAAAATATTTCTATACCCTTCCTGTGTATTTGTCTACTTCCCAATTTATTGAACATATCTTTAGAAGCTATCAATTAAATTTTATAAATATGCTTTATTAGATTTTTTTCCTCATCATAAAAAAAAACAAAAAAAAAAAAAAAAAAAAAAAAAAAAAAAAAAAAAATGCCGGAAATCCCGATTCTTAATCTCAGTTTGGCGCTAAATAAAATATCTCATTATTGAAGAAATAATTATTTTAGCATAAATTTGTGTGATTAGTAGTAACTTGACTCCATAGCTGCGTATCTGCTTGGCATAATCTCAAACCCAAACATTTGTTGATTTTACACCAACTAATATTTTATATCCTTGATGCCGAAATCGCGAATCATTATTTATTGTATTTTGCTTTCATCACCGCATGTTTATCAACGGATGACAACTTGAGTGATGAATCATGCAGCGACGCCAAATAACAGAGTATTATACGATTACAGATTTAAGTTTAATGCGCTAAAATGTTGACAAGGGGAGATTTAGCAGAAATTTCTTTCCTTATGCTAAAAATAGATTTTGTTAATGATACTCATAGGACAAACGATTATATTTAGTGCTATTTGAATTAAGAATAACTGATTTGTTATTCACATAAAGCCAGAACCAGCTGCCAGAGCTCGCATGGCCGCACCAGCTTTAAATCAGTAAAATGCTTACATTATTTCAATTAAAGCACGAATTACATATATTTTCAATTTTATAATTTCTAAACAGTGCCATCTTAGTAGATTTAAAATGATCTAATATCCGGAAAAATCTCAAATCTGGGATCGCCGAAGTCCCGACGAGTCCAGACCTCGGACTTTGTACACTGTACTGTATATATATATATATATATATATACGGAATGTATATTTTCAGTTAAACTTCTACCCAATAACTTTAGTAATTCATGAAAGTTAATTTTGCGTCTAGTTAATTCAGGAAAATTAGTTTCAATTAGTTGTTTTCAGCTTTAAAAATATTAAAAAATTTTTAATTAGTTATTTTCAACTAATAATTGTATCGCCATTAGCAAAAAATTATGCATTACTATCAACAACATAGGTTTAAACCAAATACTTAATTGTCTATTGAAGCTTCAAAACGTATTTCCGAACTTCACTTTTTTTCTCGGCTAGCGTTACCGAATTTTGCCCTTGGCGACCTAAAATCGAAATGGAGCCAACAGATTTCCCGCGAAATCGATAACAGACCCTCTGCAGAAATAAACTCATAATCCCGATATCCCATACATATAGTATGTGCAAAAGAGAATAAACTCCGTAGAAGGTGATAAAAAATTAATTTATGGCTTAATTGAAACAAACACAGAAATTAAGCTAAGCAAAACCATGTAAAAACAAATTGAAATGATAAAACGAAACTTAATTTTCATGTGAATTTTCAGCGCTGACTCTCCCATTCTAGAAATTTCAATTTGTTTCAGACAAAGACCACATTTAAGGATTGCCATCCATCAATATCCAGTCTTTGTAGTCAGCTTGATGAAGCCACAGTTTATTGAAAATGCACTTTCCAGGCATCTCGTTCCTATTGGCGTCGGAAGGGTTGTGGCCTTCCAGGTTGGAATTGCTCTAATTTTGGCAAATATTTTCAGAATCCCCCCCCCTTTTTTTTTCTCGAGCACCTTCATCATCACTTTCGCCTCTTAAAGAACTTCCGGCTTCACGCTTTCGTCACAATCTGCCTAAATTTATGGATAACACCTGTTTCGAAAGATTGGGTGAATAGCCAATCAGACACCGATACTTTCGTTCGGGTAGCTAATTTTTTTTTTTTTTTTTTAATCGTTTGCAATGCAAATCCGCCAACAGATTGGTTAAGAGCCGTGTAATTTTAATTCCATATTCATGAGAAATCGTAATTCACACTTAGAATGGCAATCATTAGAAATGATAAGAAATGTCAAATGAGCAAAATTAAGGACCGTTTATTCATTTTGGCCAAAATTAAGGACTTTTAAGGACCAAAAATCATTTTTGAAAAAATTAAGGGCTTTTAAGACAAAATACAAGGTAAAACTAGTGCACAGATTTTCGATTTTCTTTTTGGTTTAGAATTTACTCTCTTCTCGTTGAACAACAAATATATCTCAGAAAAAAAAAAAGAGCCCAGATTTTATTACATTTGAAGCCTATAAAAAGATTTATTGGAATATTTTGCTTACAGGATATTATTCTTTACTTCAAGAAAAAATGTATTGGTCTTTTGATAAGGACATTTCTGTTCCTGTTGTACGAGAATCGATATCACGTTTGCAGTACAGGAATATGAAGCAGAATTTGTATTTGACAATAGTCAAATTGACAATACTGATAAATTATATGAGGTGAGACCGTATCTAAACTTACTAAATATCACCACTTTTTACTACTGGAAATATAAAGTCTCTTTTAGATTTCAGACGCGAGAATGCATTATTCCTTTTGCAAACTCCTATTGAGAGTGTAGAATTAGCCAGAAATATATCAGCAACAGGAAGACCTAGTAAATTCAGCATTCAAAAACCATTGCATGGAGATGGTAGACATTTTATCGTAAAGTCCGTTGATAACAAAAGACTTTGTTGTAGAGAGTACGATAGCCAGACTGTCTATAGATGCAAAGTATGTAATGTAGCTCTACATCATGATTGTAATCAAGGTTTTCATGCTTGAATCTTTCAATTGAAATAATTGGTATTTGTAAAAGAAATACAATGTATATTTTAATATTAAATTAATTACAAGTAAAGTGATTTGTAGATTTATAAAACGTTATACAGCTAAAAAGTAATCTTGCGCTCCACTCAAAAGAAGCATCACACGAGTACAATCCTACTCACTAAACATCCGTAGTCTTATTCTGCTGACATTGCGCGAACGCAACACTCCCGTTTTCCACAGGTAAGAGCAATTTTTTTATTTTCAATGTAAATTTATGTTATAAATGCTTAATTTAATATTTGTTATTATTTTCATGAGAAAAGAAACATTCCTTGTAGTTTTGGTGGTTAATGGGTTAAGAGAAATAAATTTAACAGGCAAAATACTAAAAATACTAAAATCATTACTATACACACAGAAATAAGTACATAAACATGAAAAAAATTACAAATAAGAAACAATAATAATAACAATAAAAAACTGAACAAGAATTACGTGTTGGTAATTAAATTTCAATTTAAAAATTCTACTGTGTGTGAAATAATTCAAAACTAGGATCGACACACAGTCTTACATTGCATATTTCACACTCAAAATACATTGTTTGCTTTCGCTTTTCCTTGGTTTTAGCGCACACAACACATCTCCTACTTTTATAACCTTTTCCGTCAACGTAAATTTTCAGAAACTGTCTTCCAGTTAGACAGAAAGGTGGAATATCCGGTGATTTTGGACAAATTTTGAAGTTTTTAAGTAAGGTCTCTTAGCCATGGCAAACGGAATGAAACTGAATATAACCTCAACACATGTCCCAAAACTTCTTCAAAAACCACTCAGAAATATTTCATCCTCAAACCCTGTGTGACATCAGGTTTATATTAGAAAACTTCCTGTTTTTCTAAATCGAAAACAGCGTCCACGATGACCAGAAAGTGATCAAGGAAAGACCCCCCCCCCCACTGTCGGGATATCCATTACTGACCACGTCAATCTATACATTTTATATAAAGTAAATACATTATATACCAAAATATAATGCCTTTTTGATACACTTGCTTTTAACAAATACACAGCTACTTACACCAAATTCAGAAAAAAAAAAAAAAAAAAAAAAGAGATTATTAGAAAAGAAAGAGATTATTAAAAGAAAGAGATTTTATTATTTTTTAAAAGAAGTATTTATTATAATTTGCTACAGTATTGCACTGATTAAATTTATAATAATAAGTATTTTTAGTACAAATATAAATAATCTTTCATCAGAAGTGAAGTACTTAAACTGAATTTTGAAGGGATTACAGCAAGACTGTAATAATAAGTAAACAAATGAAGGAGACTTAAAAAAAAAAAAAAAAAAAAAAAAAAAAAAAAATCGAATGGGAACTTACCCTTCATGAAACACAGGCATTCCTTCATGATGCAAACAAGTCTCAGCATCACTCTCCTCTCCCCTATACACCTTGACCATAGTAATATTAAAAAATTAACAAATGCATTTTATAAATGCCACTTAGTGTATCAATTAATAAAGGAGAATATCAAATACTGATGAAAAAATATAAAAATCCACTGATACATGCAAAGATAAATCACATTTTACATAGTGAAATTTTTTAACTGAATATCTAAGTGTCATTAACCCCTTAACTGCCACAAGCATATATATACGCCTTGCTCAGCTGATGCGTTAACTGCCCCAGGTGTATATATAAGCCCTTCCGAAATACTATCATTTGCTTTGCGCTGCTACCAGCAAAATTATTTGCAAAGCTATAGAATGCAAGACCACAACGACCTTGACAGAGTATGTGCAGGAGATACTATTTCAGAAAAGGTGGGGAATCGGGAAGGGGATGTTTCTGAAATGGTGGGTGAAAGTAAATGACTGCATGGTATTTGCTGGTGTTTCTGTTTGACTAAAATGTACTTTTTTTTTAATTCTGTGTTTTCCGTTTTTGTTTACTGCTTCTAGTACGTGCCACGAATAGAGAAAGATATAACAGATGTTCCTAACCCACTTATCTTTTTTTGAATTATTTTTTTATGAACTGCTCATTCTTCATATTGTTACTGAAACTAACTGTTTCGCAGACGAGTATATGAACTAATACCTTGAAAAAAAAAAAAAAATTAAGAACAAAATCGAGGCATTTAACCAGTTCAGAAGAAATATATGTTTTTTAAGGTATACTGATTTCACAAGGTATAACACTGCAACCTAATATTACACTTTACTGGTCTAAAAACAAATTGATCGAAACTCCATTTTGTGGAAATTTTTTATTATACAAACATCAATTTTACTATATTTACATCTTTTTATTATACTTTTACACATTAAATTTTCGATTTAATTTTTTCTTTTATTCTTTATTTTGTGAAAGTAAACACTTTTTGGAAAGTAAAACTTGCACTTATTTTCTCCCTAATACATCGCATAACCATGCACACCCGGGTGAAAAACTGTGGCACTGGGGAGTGAATCTTGTACATTTTCCGTGGCAGTTAAGGGGGTAATTCTAAGAAGGGAACCCTCTACCTTCTGATGTATAATGACTTTCTTACATAGCAAAATCAACTACTTTCTTACTAAAACAAGCTTAGATAAGATGTAATCACAACAAGAGCAACATAATAAGTAATACTTTTGCTAGTTTTGTTCTGCTAAAAATATCTGCTGTGATATCACAGATTTACAAATCCTGGTCAATTATAAGAAAATATTTTGTATATTTGCTATATATTTTTTTTTTATATTATGTTAACCACACAGGTCTAACATTATGATGGTCACTTTGAAATTTTTGAGACATACATAGGTTTTTAAACCTATGTGTATCTATAAAATTTTGGGAGTGTTCAAAGTAGCCTCCGTCAGCATCAATATATTTCTGTCGGTGAATTTTTCCAATGATTGAATGCCTTAATGATTTGCAACGATAAAAGCCATTCATTTCTTGGAATCGATGAAAAAAATGCATTTATAGCCTCATCAATCTTATCTTTGGACCAAATAAGTTCGTCTTTAGATTAAACCCTAGTGAAAAGTCACATCTGGCCAGATCGGGTGGATATTCTATCACTCTGATGTGTTCAAGAAACTCAACTGTCAATCTTGCTGAATGAGAAGATGCATTGTCATGGTCGAACATGAGTCCTCTAACATTCACTTCTTGAAGAATTTCTGGAAGACACTTTAGTGGTATACTAGTTAGCTGTGACTGTCTTCTGTCCTTCCAACTTGATGGCTTCGACCGGTACTTCTGAAGAAAATGGCATACATTACTTTTTTCATAACATGTTGTCTTTTCCCCATTGTGGGCATGGGATATCTTCAATGACCCATACTTCACTTTCTTGGCGTGTTAGAACGTCCAAACATGGTGTGTACATTTCATTATCAGTTAGGATTTTAGAAATAATGTGGTGGTCGCCATTTTTAAGTAATTTAAGGGTTTCTGTACTGATTCTGACATGCTTCTCTTTTGGGTGCTCAGTTAAATTATGGGGAACCCAATGGCAAACTAATTTTTCATATGCAATTCTTCATTAATAATTTTATGTATGGCAGTGGATCCAATGCTAAATCCCTTCTGTATCATTTGGTAGATGCAGCAATTATCATCGATTAACATTTTCTGTATAGTAGACACATTATCCAGGGTTACTGCCGACAAAGGCCTTCGTGTGCATGATTCATCTTGATGAGAAATATGACCTCTGTGAAATTCTGTAAACCATCTAAATACAGTAGCATAAGATGGACCTTCATTTCCAAATGCTATTTGTAGATGTTGAATTCATTCTTCTTGATTTAACCTCATTTTGAAATCACAGAAAATCATAGTGCGATAATGTTCTCGTATCAACACCCTTTTTTCCCTTCGGCCTAAAATGTATTCTACACTAAAATACTTGCAATTGTTCTATGCTAAAATACTTGCCAATAAAAAAAAAATCATTTGCTAGGCTAAAATAGTTCATATTTTCAAATCTAACTGTTTAATTTTTTTCTGCCACTTGTCCTCTGCATGTATCTCGAACATTTCAGAGTGATCTACGTATTAAACAGATGCTTTCAACATAATTCTAGCCTGGATAACACTCTTTATAATATTCAGAGTTCACTGTAGTATTCTTTGATTACAAACACACTCAGCACAGTTCCAACAAGTTAAAAAAATACAAGCCTCATGTCTTGATGATAGACCTTTGATCGATGTGCCTCACCCTCTTCCTGAAAATAACATTTGAATTATTTGTATCCCATTTTTATTGGCATCATCATAAGCTTATCTTTTATACCTTACCTTTATGCTTACGTGCTTATGTATCAGTTTTGTTTAACATCTTTTTTATAATGACTTTTAAAGACTTTCATAATACCCTAGTCTAAATATTATATCATAGAAGGAACACTAATTTAATGTTCTTCTAACCATAAGAGTAAAGCTATTTTTCATTTCATTGTAGTATTTGAAAAGAAAATCTGTAAAAAATACTACTTGGCATCCATAAGTTTTTGTTGCTCTGTGTAAAAAATACTACTTATCATCCATAAGTCAGATATAAATTCGTGGTGCCTTACTAAGTTGTTTTTACTTCCTTGCACAAAGTAAAAAAAAAAGTATTGTAATCGCAAAAAGTTTCAGGCAGCATATTTCAACGAAAATATCCATTCTGAGCACTCTAGAATGCAATTTAACGATGTTTTTGCGTGATATCTGTACGTAAGGACAGAATAAAAGACTCTTTTCCTCCAAAAAAAGTTATAAAACTGCTTTAAAATTAATTCTGAAAAGAATTTTTCTTGGTGTCTGTACAAACGTATCTTGCATTACTCAAAAACAAGTAGACTCACAACATTGAAATTTTGTATATAGGACTACTATAAGATTACATGTACTGCTATGTGCACCTCGTACCTCCCTGTTTTTGGCTGCAATCGGCCAGCACCAACAAGTATATGAATATATATACATTATATATACTCACTTTGTTACTCGGCTCAGTGATTAGCTCAGTTTCTTTACTTCTTATATGTTTGCTAAATTGTAGCATTTTTTTGCTTTAGAAAATGGATTGAATTATGTTGTTCTTATCTTCCGGTTTAAGGTTTTTTATGCCTTTAGTAAATCTGCATGCAGTATTTTTAGAATTATCAACAATTTAAAAGTTGTTTAAGTGCGGCTAAGTCCTAGTTATTTTTTTGACCCTGGCGGCCATTGCCTCGTTTACATTTGAAACTTAGCAGAATAGTGGATTTGTTGCCAATCTTAGAAGAAACTAAGCTTCGGCAACAACAAAGATAACACCTTCATTTATTATTGCGATTTAAATAATGCTTAATCCTTTCTGGAATTTTTTTGAGGAAATAAGTGTTTAAGATTTACTTAATTTTTAATAATTAGTAATTTTTAATACAGATATTTTGAGTTTTTATGTGTTTTTGCCTTGTGCCGAAGTGAGAACTGAATTAATTGAATGAGAAGTACTGAATCGTCTGTGAAAAACTGTTTCTTTTTTGTTTTGTTTGCTTAATTTCTTTTCTCTAGCTTTATTATAGTATTTGAATAGAACATGTGGCAATGATTAGATAATTCTTTAAATGATATAAATTTTGTGCATTCTGAGTTATAATATTCTACTGGCAAAAACTCTAGTTGTTAAAAGACCAAAAAAAAGTAAGTCATAATACGAACGAAATATAATACTGTTAAGTGAACCTAGCGCCAGAGTGTCGCTATGGTAAACAAATAGAGTTAATTTTAAAGAATGCGTTTATTCTATTGTGGTTTATGCCCTGTCGGCGAAGTAGATTTAATTAAATCCAATACGTTTAAACGAAATGCAAGAAAAAATGCGTATAATTTAATATTCCGTACAAGGAAGTCATGTGGTGTACACATCAGATTTATTATTATTATTATTGTTAATAACCAGTAATAATACCAATAATAATGTTGTCCTGAATGGTCCTTACAGCTGACTGAGAAAATTCTAGGGTGTTCTGCATGAATCTAGAACCAAAAATTTAGGAGCTGTTCTTACTTGAATTTACATTCTAACATTGAGCCTGTTCTTATATCAGTAAGTTGTTCTCTTTCCTTCTCTGGCAAGCAGTCTGATTTATCGTAGTACTCGAATGGATTCTTACAATTGAAAAGAAGGCTCCGCTGTATAATTTTTAATACTGTCATCTAAATTCAATTCATTTTCCATTAAAAAACTATTTGATTTTTTTTTTTTTTTTTTTTTTTTGCAAAGCAGTGCAATTTATTCTCTTAGACATATTATGACTGCACGTTATGCTATGCCTTTAGAAAGAATGATCTTGCTAATTTTAAAAGTAAGAAAATTCTGCACCTGTCATATCCAGTCCGGACAAAGAACTTTGCAAACAGTGTCTGACAGGCACAGAATTAATTGCAACTAACAATGCAGAGACCAGGAACAAGAACTAAAATGGAATAAATTTCGGCAAAATGATAAATAAGCCATGTTTCTAAATAAGTTGAACGGATGAATAAAAAGCAACTTCAACAGGTACCACTAACAATATTCTGGGAATGAAGACAACTTCTGATGAGCTGAGAAATCTTTTGCTGATTTGAGTTATATAAATGAAGAAAGAACAGCTTGATAAGCGGGGGTAAAATAAATTTTCGTTTGATTTGGATACATTATGTGATGTATGGGTGACGCCAACCAACAAGATGTATAGAGGGTGCTGGCTCTCAATCTGAAGGCGCAAAAAGTTTAGTTTCCAAGAGAGAGACCGACAGAGAGGTCATAGGGAAGCCTCTTGGGAGCCTATTAGGAAAACGAAATTAACTTGTATTACTTAGCATATATATGTATTTCAGTTATTAGATTGTAGTGTTCGTGTAATAAATGTTCAAAATACAAAAAGGTGGAGTTACTTCTCTATGAAGTGGAGGATGAAGAAAGGGGTGATATTACATTAGCTCCTAGAAATTTGAATGTAATAATTAATCAGTGAGTTTAACAAGTGACATATATTGTATGTGTTAATATAATCAAATAAAATCACAAGCATCATTTATATATTACTGGTACCTAATTTGCAGCTAAAACTTAAATGAAATGATAAAGATTATAAATGAAACAAGCGCAACTGGTTAGAGTAGAAATTGTTTTCAGTGCTTTCATAGAAATGATAATAATTTTTTTAAATTGTAAGTAATAATTAATTGAGTTACAGAGAAAAGTATTTCCTGGGGTACTAAGGAGGCAGAGTAACATTTCCCATATGTGAATCTTACAATCACAAAACAAAGATATAATTTTAAATTTCAAAAAATAAAACACATAACAGATTTATTTTTAGCTTACCGCTTTGCATCCTTTGTTTTGACATGGTGTATTAAGCTGGATAATAGAGTCATTTTCTGCAATGAAGAAAAATTGATTTGCAATTCATACTTGTTTTAAAAAATAACACTATTTCAATGTCAAACATTTGGCCCATTTCATTTAACTATGAAAATTCATACACTTTAAACAGTTTTAACTTCCCTGTATCTATTCACATCTATTTTTATGTTTATTTATTCAGTTCAACACACATTTTCTCACTGGATTTTTAATAGTGCATCTTTATGTTAAACTTTCTTCAAATGCATTTAATTTATTTAGATCAACACTTCTCAAACTTTTTTCTAGAAAGGACCACTTTTATAAATTAGAATGCTCAGCAGACCACCAAACTTTCATCCCCTTCGAAAGCAAATTTTTTTGGTGTATGTTACTTGCAACCAGTATACTTATATTTTTTAGAGTTTGTAAAATCTTTATCTTATTAACCTCTTGCCTTACAATTTGAGTTGCAAAAATGTATGCCATAAACACCAACAAGGTCAGTCATACGTCAAACCATTTCACAGTACAGCTGAGTGCTCAAAGTGGAAGCAACTCCAGCGTCAGTTATGTTCTCATGACACACACTTTTTGAAAAAATTATGTTGTATAACTTGTTTGCTTCTAATTTAAAATATGTTGTGTAACTTGTTAGCTTCCACTTTAAAGTGGTATTAATTTTTTACTTTGAACTTATTTGTTGTTCTCAAGATTTTATTTCAATTGGAAATTGTTAATGATTATTCCTTTAATAATTTTTGAGGAGAAAACTTAACTATATTTAATTTCTCCTTATGAAAATTTAATTCATACTTTTTCTTTAGTTTTTTAATTGCTGTTGGTTTAATTTTTGTTAAAAGGGATCAGTGATTTCAGTGTTTACTAATTTTAATTTGGTTCCTTATGTCTACACCTAATGATATTTTCACTTAATTATTTTATTTATTACCTTTTTTAAAAAAAATTCCCTCCCTTCTTTTAAAGCATGAAATCTTTTGTTTCTGACAAAGTCAGATATTTCAACAACTTGAACTATGATGAAATAATTTTATGTAGTTGTAAAGAATCAGGTCTTTGGAAAAGAAAATATGATACTAGAAAGTTATGTCTAAACTCCAGAACTATTTGAAACTTTATTTATTTTTGTGGTGCCTGGATGGCAGTTCGGGGGGCCCCCTCGTGAGTGGGATTGCAAGGCTTCAGAAAGAAATGCGGATTCCCCCTTGTGGCCATAAAAGTGGTTGCCAGGGAAGCTAGAAACACGCATGTGTTTATCTTCCCTACTGATGGTGAACCTTTTGAACACTGCGTGTCAAAATTCAGAAAAAACCCTAACTTAACTCTTGATGCCATGTCATATAGAATCATTCATCTGCCAAGACTGCACTCGAACATACCTATAATAAGCATCACACATGTTGAGAATGACGAGGCCTCTGCAAGAGACAAATACTTTTTTTATTATGAATTTTTTGTTGTTTTTTGACAGCTCTGGAAATGCACAATGCATGTCACCCAAAATGGGCTTGCATATCATAGGTTCGACATCAGTGATTTAAATCTTTGAAGCAAGGGGCCTAATAGTCACACTGAGTGTTCACCACTGTTTGATATTTTTTTAAGGACTTGGTGTTTTAAGGGAAAAAAGAAACGATTTCTGCCAAGGTTGGAACACCCCTATTGGATGCCCTTATAAAAACCCCACTGTTTTCTACCGGAGATGACAGGAACTCCTTGGGGTTTGCCTGAAACTGAAACGGCAGATTCTTCACCACAGAAGAGACAATAATCATGGAGGAGCCGAAGGGAACGTGTATTCTTTTTGTCTGTGCAAGAAGGAAGGAAGACATTGGCCATGCTGAGGACCTGATGGAAGAAAACGATCCTTCTTCTTCTTACGATGTTTGGCTGATAATAATTTCCTACATTTTCTTTTTTCAGATACTGGTGTCAGAGTTCATATCGTGCTTCCTTAAATGCAGACCTTTTCAGCAAAGTAGAATGTCACTCATGGGAGAAGCTTGCTCTTGGCCAAGCATATTTTTATTTGTTATAATTGTTTCACTAATTGAAACTGGAAATAAATCTCTTTCCAGTCCCTTCCTGAAAATTTGTAATTTTTTAAATATCGAGAACACATTCTAATTTTTGTAATAATATGATTCATTGATTTGTAATTTGTATATTAAATTCTCAGTCCAACGATAAGCTGGCTAATCAGTTCAGGTATTATGAAACATACAAAATAACATTTTATTTCAGTGCAAATTTTTTGTTGTTCTTTTACTTGTAACTGATAAACTTGAGTTCTCACACTGTATTAACCAATTAACATTAAACAAGAGATGATTTTTTTCTTATACTAATAATAATAAGTACTAACATATATTTACACTGAAAAAAAAAAAAAAAAATGCTTTTACATGTGGAAAAATTGCGTGCTGCGTTCGCGCAACATGAGCAGAATAGGAATACAGATGTTTAGTGAGTATGTTTGTACTCGTGCAAAGTTTTTCTTCGAGTGGAGCACTATATTACATTTTAGCTGTATAATGTTTTTGTAAATCTATAAATCATTTTGATTGTAATTAATATTAAAATTTACATTATATTTCTTTTACAAATACAGATTATTTAAATACAGATCAATATAGTAAATACTGGATACCAGAAAGTAATACAGTGGAAAATCTGAGATCCAGACGTCCAATATCCGGACCTTAAAACCACCAACAACTATACTCCCTCATAATAAAACATCTGGAGAGTCCGATTCTTAATTTCACTTAATTAAATATAAATAAATAAAATACCTTGTTATTGAAGAAACAATTATTGTAGCATATATTTGTATGATCAATAATTTGGCTCTGTGGATGCGTCTACTTGGCATACATCTCAAACCAAAACATTCTACACTGATACATCGTTGTTGATTTTACATCTACTAATATGTTATATCCCTGACAAAATTCTGACAAATCATTATTTATTATATTTTACTTTCATCACTGCATGTTTATCAACACAAGACAACTTGAGTAGTGACTGATGTAGCAATGCCTAAACTATTTTTTTAATGTTAATAATTGAATAATAAAGAGCATGGTAACCTTTTATGTTGACATAACACATGCCGATGATTATAGGTTTAAGTTCAATACTCTAAGAAATGTTGATGAGGAAAAAATTAATAAAAATCTCTTTTCATATGCTAAAAGATTAAATTTAGTGCTATTTGAATTAAGAATAACCAATTCCTTATTCACATAAATCCAGAACCAGCGCCAGGGCTTGTATGGCTACACGGGGTGCGCGGAATTTAGAGCCTTTATTTATTAAGGACTTGGATAAGCATGTGTAAAAAATAGACATAAGTATAATAGACAACTAAATACAATTCAGGCTTAATTGTCTCTGTGTGCGATAAAAGCAAGATAAAATTTAGTGGAATAACTTGTCTTTAGTTGTCAATCTCACGATACATAGCCAAATATATACAGTCAAAAGTCGTTAATTCGGACACCCATAATCCGGACCTCAAAGCTACAAACTTTCTGCGCATGCGTAAGACCTTTCCGGCTCCGAATTTGCGTGTGTGTGTGCGCAAAATACGTTTACGAATGCGCGTTTAATGTATAACGGACGGGATAAGCTAAGCTAAAATTATCTAATTATCTATTTCAGTTAATGTTGCAGATTGCGTTGTTCCTTAATCTTCGAATTGGATCCGGCTTATTATTTTTTGCAGACTAGAGCAATTTTATAAAAGTATGCTTGAACTTTCGATTATGTCAAAAAGAATTTCCGATATATATTTACTAATATGTAAAGGATATACAAAGCGAAAGTATCTTTCGGAGTCCATTAAACAAAAAGTGGAATTGCTTCAAAAAAATGGATAAAGGCATATCCTTTGTTTATCTAAACTTTGTTTATCTTTAACACAGCGGAGTGCAATGAATTGGAAGTTGATTTGTCAACACTATCCTTATCTTAAGGGCAGATGTTTTTATTTTATTTGGCTTATAATTGCTTACTAAATGTCGTATTTCCTCTCGATGTACTCCGTCTTTGATATGATTTAAATCAAATGCCTCGTCATTATAATTCGCTTCCGATAGCAAAGAAAGTAACAGAGGTTATTGAAAACGAAAAAATTTCGATTGACAAATTAGTCGGTATTCTCGACACAGCAATTATAGGACTTGAACAGCGGAACTTTGTAACTGAACAAGAAATTATGTCTGTTTATGGAATTAAAGAGAATGTATTATCACATAAAAAAACGAAGCAACTTAAACAATTTAATTGAAAGAAATGTTTAATAAATAAACAAATAAATATTAAGCTTTTTTTTTTTTTTTTTGTAAATTTTGATACCTTTTAGATCATTATTTTCTTATATTTCGTAAATTACGGTTCATATTTTTTAATTTTAATAATTTCTGCGTGCCATTTTACCAGATTTAAACTGATGATCTATAATCCGGAATCGCCGAAGTCCCGACGAGTCCGGATTAACGACTTTTGACTGTATACTGAATGACTGCTAAATTTTATGATGATAGCCGCGAATTTTAAAGGCTTTTGGATATCGCAAACCAAAGGTGAAATTTCCAATTAACGGATTCTTTAAAGAAATGTAGAGAAGCGGCAACAAATGAAGATGATATAAAAGAAGGTTTTCATTGTGATGACAATGCTCCTCAATCATCAATAAATGAATGGATGGCAAAATCTGTAGTATGGTTCTAGATCCAGAAAATACCGCTACCAATAGTGAAGAAAGTGACAGAGGGGTTACTAAAAACAAAAAAATTTTGATCGATAAGTTAGTCAGAATTCTGAACGTAGCATTAGTTACATTGCTGAAGCATTTCAACAATGTAACTAAAGAAGAAATTATGTCTGTCTACAGAATTAAAGAGAAAATATTAACACAAAAAACGAAGCAACTTGCACTGAAAGAAAATTTTAATAAAGTAAACAGATAAATGGTCTCATAAGAGACTGAAAGGCAAAAGTTTAATAAAAAATTAAATAAATATTGATACTTAGATTGAGAAGATTGATAAGCCTGCCGATTCTTGCACAGCTATTCCACGTTTAGATTTATGCTGGTAATCTTAAGTCTGAGATCAGGACATGCGACAAATGGATTTCAGTATTCTACTTTTACTTGAGTTGGTGATGAAAACTCTTTCTTATACAGTTACATAGAGGAAGACTGAATTATAATTTTAAAACCACCATTGTACAGTTCATTATATTTCATATTTGATGGTAAAAAAATTCAGAAATTAATCGTATTTTATGCTTAGAATTTGTTTTAAGTCTGGTATTACTAGACAGTTCAGTTAACTGTACTGTTTCATTAAATGAGTTCATTATTTTTAAAATCACAATGGAAAACAGCAAGAACACATGAAATTTCACACTGACGTTTGAAATTATGACCTCAGAGTTTCGAGATGCAAACATATCTCTTTCATATTTCTTTTTCAATAATAACATAATTTTCTATTAAAAATGATTTCAAGGTTGGAAATGGTGAAAAATTATTTCTTTTACATAACTGATCCAAAAACCAAGTTTCTTTTTAAACTCCTTTATTTTTTCTTGTCCAGCGAGAACAATCAAAGAATTACCTTGTACACAGAGATTTAGTTTTGAGATTATATTGAGTTTTATGTTCACTGAGTTTTAAGAATGACATGCACTGTATTTAGCAAAATGTCATCAGCAAGAAATCATGTATCTAGTTCTCATAAAAGTTTTCAGTCAAAAAAAAAAAAAAAATTCTTAATAAAGTTAAAGAAACAGGAAAGCAGAACCTTTAGTGTGGGTAGTAATCATCCTCCAACTCTATGATTTTCTGACACCATTTTGGTAGTTTTCCAAAGCTTTCAAGGCCCAGAAACTTGGTAGACACGAGTCCAAACACAGATCAACCTCATTTCGAATGTCTTATGCAGAATGGAAGACATCCCCAGCAAGATGTAGCTGCAGTTGTGAGAAAAGGTAGAAGTCCGAAGGAAAGATATCAGGGCTATATGGAGGATGTGGTAAAATATCTGATGCCCGTCCATACACAGTCCAGCCGGTGAATGGAGACATGTGGTCTTGCATTATCTTGATGAACCATCACTTTTTTTGCACCGGAACTCAGTTTGATGCATTTCCTTGACAGCAGTCTCAACACAGACTAGCATCTGGCTGTACACCTTACTGTCGAGGGTTTTACCTTTTTCCAGATATTTTTTTGAGTATAATACCACATTAAAATCACCAGAGACAAAGCATGATCTACTTGTTAATCAAATTGTGCTTTGAGATGCTGCCGAAGGGCTCACCGGGTGCAGACCACATTCCTTTTCGGCCTGTGTTGTTGATGTAAATCCACTTTCCATCACAACTGATGATCTGTCCAGAATTTTATCCTTGCGTTGATATTGAAGCAGATTAATGCAAACCTGAACACGTCTGTCCTTATCTTTTTGAATCAGCTCACGTAGCATCCAGTGATTGAACTTGTATGTCAAGTTTATGCGATGCACTGCACGACTAATGGGCAAGGCACTAAACTCTAACTCCTTAGCAAGTTCTCAAGGGGTGCACACTGATATTCATCCACAAAGTGGGCCTCATCAACATTGGGGCCAGCATTCTTCCACAGGTGGGTCTCATCAACATCAGAAGGTCAGCCAGAGACCTCTGCTTCTTGAATGTTTTGAACTTTGTTTTTGAACTTTCGGTACCAAACCTTCACAGTGTCATATGATATAACATTAGTACCTAAAGTTGTACACAAGATTTGGTGACATTTTGTAGCTCACTTTTTGTCACAGAATTGGATAGCATGCTAATTCCATTTCAGACACCTTGTACTTAATGATTTAATGAATGATATTTTTTTTACTAATTTCACAACACAGTATTCTAAAGCAAATCTCTTTCAAATGGCAAAAAAATGTTTAACAAAATATGATTAAACACTCCATTGCAAGCTGTTTGTGCAGACGGTATTTGCGGTAGTGGAAAACTTTCATCAAAACCTGATAAAAACTTGTTAATTTCATTCACAGGACATTTTTCCAAATCCAGGAGGATCATGAAGGCAGGGTTCTAAGATCATTTGAAGTCCACGGACCACAGTTTTAGAAATGCTGATAATAAAATATATGCATTTTTGCAGGTAGGGGAAGAACAAAAGTTTATGATTTTTTTACAAATAAAATGTTATTTGAAGTACAGTACCATGTTAAGACCCAGTCCAACATATAAGAATTTGCTGCTCTTTTAATCTGGTGTTCTCATCTAATTTTTAGCTAAACACTTTGTTTTATTAATTTATGTTGTTGATTAAATCAATATTACAACATGCAGCATTCTATTGTAATACAGACGGTAACATGTTATATTTATATTATAGAGATAAGGACCATTTAATTTGTTCATACATAAATCTAGATAATTAATTTTATATCTTATTTCAGTAATTCAAAGATATTAAAGTAAGTCATTTAATCTTTAACTCATTACAAATTACTTTAATAGGGCTATAAAATTACAGTTGATAAAAAATCTTTCCAATTAAATTACTTTCAATGCATGCAATATTTAACATATCAAATGGCAAGCTTATTTCGTTTGCTGTTAAAGTTGGTTCGATACTCTTCTGTTATGGCACCAGGTATACGCGTATGTGTGCGTATATATATATATGTATATATACGTACATAAAGATACATACTTAGATGCATGCATACATGAACACACACACATGCATTCATTTCTGAATATGATCTCCAAAACAGAAGAGTCCCATTGGTTCATACTGCCTGACATTTAATAGGTTAAATGTAAATAACTGTACTGCAACCTGGATATGGTAATTATGGTTACTAAAATTTATTATTTTTGTATCAAATACTTTATATATATGCAAAATAAATTTATCATGAACATTTTTTATAAGTTACAGAGTAAATCATTGCTAAAAATATATGCTATATTAACTGAATGGATCAGACTAAAGAATAAAATATCCCATTAATTTTCATTTATAGTTTTAAGAATACCATACCAGGATCTTTTTCTAATGTTATTTCTTTCTGCATTGCATCTAAAACAGGTTTTAAAGAAGCACCAATGGTAAATGGAAGGTGTACCATCGGCTGATTAGGATCAGGTCGCTCCAGTGCATCTCTCTGCTGCATAGGTTTTGGTGATGAATATACCTAAATATTAATAATAAAGAAGATTTGAATTAATACTGAAATGCAGATTTACGAACCTATGATTTAATGAATGTTAGAAGACTAACATAAGGTTTTTACCTTTTTATTATACAGTCAAAAGTCGTTAATCCGGACTCGTCGGGACTTCGGCGATTCCGGATTATCGATTTTTCCGGATTATAGATAATCAGTTAAAATCTGGTAAGATGGCATGTAGAGATTATAAAATTAAAAATATGAAACCGTAATTTATGAAAAAAAGAACAATTATGATCTAAAGGGTATCAAAATTTACAAAAAAAAAAAAAAAAAAAAGCTTAATATTTATTTATTGTTTGTTTAATATTTATTAAACATTTCTTTCAATGTGAGTTGTTTAAGTTGCTTCGTCTTATGTGATAATACTTTCTCTTTAATTCTATAAACAGACATAATTTCTTGTTCAGTTGCAAAGTTCCGCTGTTCAAGTCCTATAACTGCTGTTTCGAGAATACCGACTAATTTGTCAATCGAAATTTTTTCGTTTTCACAAACCTCTGTGTCACTTTCTTCACTATCGGAAGCGAATTATAATGACGAGGAATTTGATTTAAGTCATATCAAAGACGGAGTACATCGAGATGAAATACTACATTTAGTAAGGAATTATAAGCCAAATAAAATAAAAGCATCTGCCCTGAAGATAAGGATAGTGCTGACAGATCAACTTCCAAATCATTGCGCGCCGCAATGTCCCCCCCCCCGGCGCGGAGCAGCGTGAAATTGATAAACAGATTTCGGAATCGTTAGAGAAACAAAGGATGTGCCTTTATCCATTTTTTGCAGCAATTCCACTTTTTGTTTAATGGACTTCGAAACATACTTTCGCTTTGTAGATCCTTTTACATATTAGTAAATATATATTGGAAATTCTATTTGACATAATCGAAAGTTCAAGCTTACTTTTATAAAATTGCTTTAACAGTCTGAAAAAAAGGAGCCGGATCCTATTCGAAGATTAAGGAACAACGCATTCTGAAACATTAACTGAATTAGATAATTTTAGCTTAGCTTATACCGTCCGTTATACATTAAACGCGCATGCGTAAACGTATTATGCACATGCGCACACGCATATTCGCAGCCGTAAAGTGTTGGCTTTAGTTTTCCACATGCAAATTTTGATCGGAGGTCGATTGGCGGTAAGCTAACGTGGTTGCCGCTGATTGGCCGATGACGTCAAGATCGGCGGGTTGGCCGAGTATAATATATATGTACGCCAATATTGGCGAATCTTGTTTTTTCTTGTTCTCTTGTGTCATTATGAGTTAGCATAATGCTAGTTTGCTTTCACTAAATGATTTTAAATGTAAAGGCTACAGTGTTAGCTCTTTTATTTTATTTATGGAATAAAGCAAGAATTTTGTTTAGTTTAGTCTTAGCTTTATTTAAGGGAAGCAAAACCATGCTTTGCCTTTATCACCACTGCCAACAGGGTTATGGGCCCAGCGCCAACACTAATCAGTCATCCAGTTCAACTCAGCATTGAAGGAATGTAGGTGAAGAGGGCCGTTATCCACGAAAAGAAGCTGACCTGTCTTAGAAGTTTGTTCAGTTCGTTGTGCTCACAATAATTGAAGATGTCATTTACCTGAAAGTTTTGAGTTGTTAAACATGACAAAAGGGTCGATGGAAAGTCAACATGAAAATGCTGTTACTGGATAGAAATTGTTGAGCTTCATAGAAGACAAGAAGGAAGAATTAGATTAAAAGTGCAAACAAGGCATCAGAGCCTTCACTACATTATATTACGGAATTAAAGCTGAGTTCAGGCCTGATACAAGAATGTTCAAGTGGTAAAGAAGTGTGGGAAGTTCTACAGAAGCAATTCGAACCCAAACAAGAGCAAGGATAATTCAGTTACTGGATGAATTTTTTAGTATTAGATATACGCCAAATGAAGAAAGAAACTATTATCGCGAGATAAGAATGACTGCAAAGAAGTTGGCTGAAGCTGGTCACAACTTGGCAGATCTTTGTAAAGGATTCCAGGCAATAAGGAGATTACCCCAGGAATACTCCGGCATTGTACATTGATCTATAGGTGGAAGGACGAAGATTTTACGCTGGAAAGAATTGCTGAAGAGCTGGTAAGGGAAGAAAAGCCGACTTCGCCAGGTACTTGCCGATTTAGAAGACAGCAAGGTAAGCGTGTTAATACTATTAGTTAAATGCAGGGACAGATAAAGTTGAAAATAAACTAAATCTAAGAAAAAATGGGGAATGAGAAAAGGCCTTGTTTCCGATGTCCATAAATTTGGGCACTTAATTGCTCAATGTAAAGAAAATGTAAGTAAAAATCAGAAGTTTAAAATAGACGATAAAATGGACAGTTTAAAGATAAAGAATTAATGTTAGTAGAAAATATGTAACAACTACAGATAAAGGAGGGTAACGCAAATAAATTTTTAATTGGGTCGTAGATTCTGCAGCTACAACTCATTTCTGTAATAATATAAATTTAATGATAAATTTTGAAGAAATAAACGATATACGTATGTCTTTAGCTGTAGGAAATTGTGAAAGTAAAGAACTAGAAAAGGGTACCGTTAAATTTGCAGTAAAAGTAGGCAATCGATTAAATTGGATTGAGTTAGGTAATGTGTTATATAATCCAAATCTAAGAAAAAATTTACTATCGGGAGCAAGGTTAGAAAAAACAGATGCTCATTTTGTGATTTCAAAAGGCAAGATATGGATATACTTTAATAACTACGATAGATTATGCTACGCTAAACGATATGACGGACTTTATCATGTAAAGCCATTTAGATATGCAATAAATAAAAAGGAAGCTGGTTACGGTACAGAAATTGGAAAGTTAAATAAGTAGATGATGCAATGCTTGGCATTGGAGATTTAGCCACGTAAATTTTGATTATATTAGAATTAGTAAGAATCAAAGCGTGAAATGGTTACCAGAAATTGAAAAACCAATAGAGAGTGTAAATCGTGTATTATTGCTAAATCTAGTAGAATAACTTTAAATCTGTTCCGAAGAGATCGGATAAACCATTGCAGTTGGTTTATTTAGACGTTTGTGCCCCACTACCAGTTCCATCTAAGGATGGGAGTAAATATTTTTCTTGCTATTGTAGATGACTATAGTAGATTAGTAACAGTGTATTGTATGAAAAATAAAACGAATCGTTCTACACTTTAAAATTATCATAGGCAAATGGAAAGACTGACGAATAGAAAATTAATAAGTATACGCACCCGATAATGGTGGGGAATTCTGTACCAGGCAATTCGAAGGGTACTTAGCCGAAAATGGAATTAGTGTTGAACGCACGAACGCGTACACCCCAGAAGAGAACGGTGTGTGTGAACGTTTTAACCGAACGGCATTAGACGCAGTTAAAGCTATGCTTAATGATGGTAAAATGGGAAAAGAATGGTGAGCAGAAGCTCTTGGCTGTTTCGTACATACGTAGAACAGAGTATGTCATAAAAGCAACCGAACCCCTTATAAAATGTTCCTAAATAGAAAACCCAGTGTTTTATTTTAAAGTATTTGGTTGTAAAGCCTATGTTGGGTGCCAAAACAGATTAGGAATAAATTAGAAATGAGGTGCAAAGAAGGAATCATGGTAGGATATGCGAAGGAAACTAGGGGTTATAGGATATGGCTGCCAGAAGAACGCAAATTAATAGAAACCTGTAATGTGAAGTTCGATGAAAAACTGTATGCAGCAAATGGCATCCTGGAACAGAAATCAAAACCCTAAATTTAAAAGACTAGAGGAATCTGAGCTATTAGCAGAATCAGATGAAGAACAGGAAATTTCTAGAGAAGAAATAAAGTTATCATATGACAAATCTACTCCGAAAGAAGTATCTGACTTAAACTGGCAAAGAAAAGCAGTTAAAAGGCCTGATGGTACACGTACAGACATATATTATTATGTAGAAGGAACAGACACCCGTTTTAGATCTTATAATGATATTGAAAAATATTGTGAGGCAAGAAATATTAAATTTGAAAAAGATAAGTTTGATTTTAGTGGAAAAAACGAATACTCGAGGAAAGTTAATTTTGTAGAACAGGAGACTAGCTCCGTGTCTGAAGAGGCAAATTCCGTAGAAAGAGTTATCCCACAAAATTTTAAAGAAGCACGAAAATCAGTAAATGCCGAAGAATGGGATAAGACAATGAAAGAAGAAATTGACACAATGGGGAAAGGTTTGGGAAAGTCGAAGCAGAAAATAAAATAATAGGAAACAAATGGGTCTATACGCTAAAAAGAAATGAAAAGAATCAAGTGGTTAGATACAAAGCACGTTTAGTAGCACAGGGATTCAGGCAGAAAAGAGGTGAAGATTTTGATGACGTTTACAGTCCTGTAGTAAATTTTTCAATCATAAGAATATTTTTCACTATCCTGGTATGTTTATATGGATGGACTAATTGTCAGTTAGATGTAAAGAACGCATATTTATATGCAGACCTAAATGAGAAATATATATGACCCAACCAGAGGGATTTATCGAAGAGGAAAATAAAGTGTGTTTATTACACAAGGCCATTACGGTCTACATCAAAGCGGCCGTGTGAATGGTTTTGTGAATTGAAAGTACTTTAGAAAATCTACATTTTAAGAAATACAATGGTGTAATTGTGTTTATAAGGGTTCAAATGTAGTTCTCTTGTTATATGTAGATGATATTGTGATTTTTAGTAAGATCAATATAGTATAGATAAAGTAATTTCACAGCTGAGTAAGTTTTGATCTTAAAGTATTAGGCAAAACTAAAACGTTACTGGAATTGAATTCTTAGAGAATGAGAATGGGATTTTTATACATCAGCAAAAATATATCGAAGAAATTTTTGAAAAATTTAAACATTTCCAGATACCAATAACTTCACTTCCCATTGCTAAAGGCACTATTCTTACAAAATTAGATTGTCCATCTACAAGTGCAGAAATTGTGGAAATGCATACATTACCCTTTAGA